CAGACAAGGACTCAGTCTCGTCCACTCAGAGCCTGCAGCAGGGCTCAGCACATGGTCAGCGTTTGGTAGCTGTTCATTAAATAAGTAACACAGCACCCTAGAGGCTGCGGGAAACAAGCACTCAGACACTGCTGGTGGGAGTGTGGGTTGGGATGACTAATGAGGGCAATCTGGCAAAAATACCAGAATTACAAACGCGCCTACCCTTTGACCACAGTATTTCCTCTTCTAGGAATTTATCTCAGATAAATTCTGCAAACGGGAAAAATGATTTACGTGCAAGGGGATTTGTCTCAGCATTATTTGTTACAGCAAGAAAGCACCTAAGTATCCATCAACAGGCAACTGGTTGGATGCATTATGGTCAAGTCCCTGCTAAGGAATACTATGCAGCTGTGAACAGGAGCCACTTTATGTTCTGATGTGGAACTGCTTCTGTGATGTATGAAGGAAAGAAAGCAAAGTACAGTGCAGCCAAGTTTGCTACTATTTGTGGAAAAATGGGGGAGGAGGGTGGCAGACACATACATGCAAGACGTTAGGAACAGAGGTTGCCTATCTGGAAGGAAACTGGGTGATACGGGGATGGGGCAGAGGGTGTACCCTTTTATGCTTTTTGTTTTGTACAATGTGAAGGTATCAGGTGTTCAAAAAATTAAATAGAGAGAAAAAACTTAACCCATGTTTGCTATTTGCAAACTGTTCAGATTAACATTTAAATGGATTTTAGTCATAAAGGAAAAAAGGTTAAGAAAATAAAAATTAAAGTGGTGCCCCACTAAAAAGCCCATCACTGTAACGTGAGCTGGAGCACACACGTCCCGCTCTCTTAGTTCCAACCGGAAGCCCATCCTGGCCCCCCCGGGGCCCCTGGGGACCACCCCAGAATCCTTCCAGCCCTGTGCCCATACCTGTGGATGCCTCTCTCTCAGGGAAGCCGACAGGCTCTTCTGGGGGAGGCGGCAGCTCCTCCTTCATGGGCCTGAGATGATTGGGCTGAGACTGGGCTGGAGGTCCCTCTTCTGGGACCTGTGGGGATGCGGGGGGTTCGGGGGCAGTCAGGAGAGGAGTCATCAGCAGGAACCCCATGCAGCCCTCTCCTCTCTGCTCCTCATCTGGGTGGCACCAGGCACAGTTAGCCCCATTGCATACAGGAGGAAACTGAGGCCCAGGAGATAAGTGACCTATCTAAAGTCGCTCAGGGGGCTGGGCCGGCCCGTGGCTCACTCAGGAGAGTGTGGTGCTGATAACACCAAGTCAAGGGTTAAGATCCCCTTACCAGTCATCTTTATAAAATAAATAAATAAAGTCACTCAGGGGGGAAGTCACAGTGGCAGCTGCAGCTTTGGCCTCCCAACTCCCTGCCCTGGGTTCCCTCAACCAGTCAAAGTTACTCCTACTTCTAAGGAACCTTTTGGAATCAGGTTGTCCCTTGGACACTGGACTGAAGTGAACTCAGCCCTTGGCCTGGGATTCTTGCCCATTTCTACAATGGCCTGTTAAAGGGAGAGGATTAAAAATGGGTTTCCTCTGCAACTTAAGGGATCTTAGGTCAGATGCAGGGAAATGTCTTCCTCAGGGGATAAGGGGGCTCCTGAGGGAGAAAGGGTGTGTCAGCCCCTCTCCAGGGACCTTGAAAAACCCAGCCAATTTTTATTGCCTGGAAAAAGCTTGGAAGAGGGACTTCCCTCAAGCAGGAAAATGGACCAAACCACATCCTGGTTTATCACCCCCAGAAGGTGCAGACTTCGTCTCCCCTGGCCCAGGCGACCCAGGGGACCAAGGGATTGGCGGGGTTGGCAGTACCTGTGGTGGGGGTGGGGGTGGCGGCAGGTGCAACTGCTCCAAGTCTGAAATGAGTGACGCCCCCATCGAGGGAGGGGGTGCCTCATCAGGAAGAGGCAGGTATGCCGGTGGGGGCGGCGGAGGTGGTGGGAGGAGGTCCAGGTCGGCAAGTGAGTCCTCGCCGGCCAGGGTGGGAGGAGGGGGGGAGCATCCTGCAACCGGAAGGGGAGAGAGGGTTGGCCAGAGTCTCTGCAGGTGGACACGGGAGGTGTCTACGTACCCAGAAGGCTGTACAGCAGGAGCTAAGGGCTCGGGTCCGGGCTCACCCAGACCTGTGTTCCACCTCTGACTCTGCCATTGACTTGCTGCGTGTCCTCAGGCAAGAGACTTAATCTCTCTGGGTCTCAATTTGCTCAGTTGGAAAATGGGCATTAATCACTTAGGGCTGTCGTGGGGATTAAATGAGATGATGGACGGTGGGAGCCCCACGGCAAGGGCTCAGAGAGCAGAGGCTGTGAAAGCCCCGCAACAGCCTCCCCCACCACGGTATCTACCCCTAAGGCTGTGGCTCCCCAGCTGTGGTCTTTGGACCAGCAGCATCAGCATCACCCGGGTTTGTTAGAAATGCAACTTTTTGGTCCAGCCCCCGCCTGCAGAGGCAGAAACTCTGTGGGTGGGGCCAGCCATGTGGCACTTAAGCCGTCCAGGTGACGCTAATGCTGCTCAAGTGTGGGAACCGCCACCCTCAGGAAATTATAACAGATTCAGGTAATGACCATCAGGTGATGAAAACATTAGGTGAAAGGTTGATGAGGAACTTTTCTAAAGAGAGGTCAGGCTGTCGTCACCTGAACCCAGTGATTAACCTTAGCAGACATCGGGGAGTCTCCTGACTCATGTGACATTACAGGAAGCTATGGCACGACGGATGAATTGTTCTTACAAAAAAACCCCCAAACAAACTAAAAACACTCCAATCTAATCATATCTCTAGAATTAACTTCCAGGCCAGCCCGTGGCTCACTCGGTAGAGTGCGGTGCTGATAACACCAAGGCCCCGGGTT